TAAAATAAAAAAAGTTTAAGTAGAGCAAACAAGACCATATTAATTTAATCAATCATACCTTGTTAAGTTATTGTTCATAAGAATTCTAATGTTCAATAATTTAAGTCCATTTTTCATTTATAAGAGAAAAATGTATAATTAGTTTGAATCATTATACCTCTGAAGCTGGAGCATTTTGTAGAGAAGGGGTACCTTCTGGCCAACCACCAAGATGACCACAAGGAATATAGTAGAAAGATCCTGTACATATGTAAGATATACATTTTTTGTCTTAAAATCTCAACTGTTCTTTCAACAAAATCTGAAAAACCTGTTGGAATATACATCATATTCTTTTCCACAATAACCTTTCATACGATTTGCTCAATTTCCTTTAGACTGTCTTTTAAGATATTGGCCATAGGATTTTTTTCTTTTGTTTATTTAAATTAGAAACAAGCTTGTTTTACATGTCAATCCCAGTTTTCTCTCTCTGCCTTCCTCCCCTGCCTCCAACCGACCCCCTATCCCAGTTTCTGTTCTGCAGAGACGGTAGGACCTTCCATGGGGGATCTTCATAGTCTGTCATTTGGATAAGGGCCTAGACCCTCCCTCTTGTGTCTAGACTGAGGGAACTTCCGTATTAGTGGAGTGGGCTCCTAAAGTCCATTCTTGTACTAGGGATAAATACTGTTCCACTACCAGAGGCCACATAGATTGCCTAGGCCTCCTAACTGACACCCACATTCAGGGGGTCTGGAATGGTCCTGTGCTGGTTTCCCAGATAGCAGTCTGGTTTCCATGTGCTCCCTCTTGTTCAGGTCAGCTGTTTCTGTGGGTCTTTCCAGCCTGGTCTTGACCCCTTTGTTCATCACTCCTCCATTTCTGCAACTGGATTCCAGGAGGTCAGTTCAGTGCTTACTTTTGGGTATCTTCTTCTGCTTCCATCAGCTACTTGATGAAGACTCTAGGATGGCATATATGATAGTCATCAGTCTCATTATCAGAGAAGGATATTAAGGTAGCCTCTTCATTATTGCTTAGAGTGTTAGTTCAGGTCAGCCTTGTAGATATCTGGACATTTCCTGATTCAAAGTTCTTGTTATACAGTCTTAACTTATTAGGTTAGCTTTACCCAAGGTATTTTATGTTGTTTGTGGCTATTGTAAAGGGTGATGTTTCTCTGATTTCTTTCTCAGCCAATTTATAGTCTGTATATAGTAAGGTGACTGATTTTTTTAGTTAATCTCATTTCTTGCCCCTTTGCTGAAGGTATTTTTCAACTGTAGGAGTTCCCTGGTAGAATTTTTGGGTCACTTATGTAAACTATCATATCATCTGTGAATAGTGAAAGTTTGGCTTCTTTTCCTATTTGTATCCCCTTGATCTCCTTTTATTGTCTTATTTCTCTAGCTCGAACTTCAAGTACAATATTGAAGAGGTTTAGAGAGAATGTATTGCCTTGTCTTGTTCCTGATTTTAGAGGATCCACTTTGAGTGTCTCTCCATTCAGTTTGATGTTGTCTGTTAGTTTGCTTTATATTACTCCATTATGTTTAGGTATGTTCCTATTATCCCTGATCTCTCCAGGACCTTTATCATGAAGGAGTGTTGGATTTTGCCAAAGGCTTTTTCAGCATCTAGTGAAATGATGATGTGATTTTTTCTCAGTGTGCTTATATGGTGGATTACATTGAAGGTTTGTCATATGTTAAACTGTTCCTGAATCCCTGGGATGAAACCTACTTGATCATGGTGGATGATTTTTCTGATGTGTCTTCGGATTCAATTTGCCAGTATTTTATTGAGTATTTTTACATCAATATTCATGAGGGATATTGGTCTGTAGTTCTCTTTCTTAGTTGTGTCTTTGTGTGACTTGGGTACCAAGGTTATTGAAGCCTCTTAAAAACAGTTTAATAATGAACCTTCTGCTTCTATTGAGTGGAATACTTTGAGGAGATTTGTTATTAGTTGTTCTTTGAATTTCTGGTTGAATTCTGCACTGAAACTATCCGGCCCTGGGTTATTTTTGGTTGGGAGACTTTCAATGACTGCTTCTATTTCATTAGGGTTTATAGGTCTATTTAATTGGCTACAGGGTTTCTTTAACTAAAATGATGTCCATGAATTCTCTTACTTGGAGTCTGTGTTTTCTGTGTGATAATGCCATTCCTGATGATGAATTATGCTACCTTTTAGAAGATCAAGTGTAAGGCCACACACCAGTTTTTGAAAGGGAGCCATTCTCTTCTTCTGAATTAATGACAAGGCTTCTGATTACTATTTCTTCACTTTGTCTTTCCTTCTCCCTTAACTGCAGCATTAAGCTAATGACACAATATAGTTAATTGTTCTGTAGCTCTCTCTATTGTTCAGGATTTTACACTGACCTACCTGTTTTACAGGGCTTCTCCTTAACCATCTTTACACACAGGTATGCTAGAATGACTACATCTTGTGAAAATTTTTGTCATATCCAAAAGGCACAATGGTAGAATCTGCATTTTCTTATTTTTTATTTTTTTTGATTTAAGTTAGAAACAAGCTTCTTTTACATGTCAATCCCAGTTCCCTCTCCTTCCTTCCTCACCTGTGCCCCTGCATGGACCTCCTATCCTATCCTTTTTCTACTCCCCAGGGAGGGTGAGGCTTTCCATGGGGTATCTTCAAAGTCTGTAATATCATTTGGAGCAGGGCCTAGACCCTCCCCCATGTGTCTAGGCTGAGAGAGTATCCCTCGATGTGGAGTGGGCTCCCAAAATCCATTTGTGTACTAGGGATAAATATTGATCCACTATCAGAAGCCCCATTGATTAACCAGACCTCCAAACTGACATCCTCATTCAAGGTGTCTGGAACAGTTCTATGCTGGTTTCCCAGCTATCAGTCTGGGGTGCATGAGCTCACCCTTCTTCAGAACAGCTGTTTCTGTGGGTTCTCCAGCCTCGTCTTGACCTTTTTGCTCATCATTCCTCCCTCTCTGCAACTGGATTCCAGGAGGTCAGCTCAGTGTTTAGCTGTGGGTGTTTGCTTCTGCTTCCATTAGCAGAATGGGATTTTTGGCTGGAAATCCCCTGCTCCATGTCTTAAGTCCATATACGAGTGAGTACATACCATGTTTTTCTTTTTTGTGACTGGGTTACCTCACTCAGGATGGTTTCTTCCAGTGTCATTCATTTGCCTGCAAATTTCAAGATTCTGTTTTTTTCCACTGAGTAGTACTCCATTTTGTAAATGTACCACATTTTAGAGAGACATTCTTATAGACAGAATGTAGAGTAGCTGAAATTTGATTCTGAATAAAGTTACTAATAGAATATAGCTGTTATTTTTTTTTAGTGGGATTGTCTCCTTGCTTTTAGTTACCCACTATCAGGTCACAACTGATGTATTTGACTCTGTGGTTCACAGCAATGTAATGAAATCCAGTATGAGCAAAAATTCTTTAAAAGCAGGAACAGTTTCAGATCTTTGTTGTAAGGTACACTAGATAAATCTTTGGGAGATAGTTTTATTCATGAATGATAAATCATATTTATGATAGTTTAAACTGTCACATGGGTTTCTAATACCTTCATCGTCTGCAAGATCTTTACTAATCAGAGGAATAAAATGGCAGGGTCCTACCTGGGTAGAATCCACTATACTCTGATAGAATGTATATGAGTCTACACTCACATATAATGAATTTATCTCCTAATTTTATGAGACACTATATAGGAGTCTTTGGAATTATAATAATTCTATGGGAAAGCCGAGAGCAATTTACCAATAATTTGCCCTAATATAAGGAACTAAAAATTCATGTACTTCTGAATTTATTAAAAGCTCTTGATTTTTCAAAAAAACATATTCTGAAAAAACATACAGGATAAATCAATTTTATCTTCAGTTCATTTTTCATTCCAAATTAGGAAATCTTGATATTAGATCAATTACTAAATACACTGGAAACTTATATGCAGGAGCTTACTTTTCTGATAAGGACTTTAATATGACATCCAATCTAGTCATTTATTATACAAAACAAAAGTAACTAAACTCTTCCTATGGTCATATTTCCTAAAAGGTAATTTCATACAGCTCATCATCACAGGTTTTTCTAAAGTGGGTTGTAATAACTCCAGTTAATTTCTGCAGAAGTCAACACACAGATTAATTAAGGCTATAATGTATGTGGTGAATGAAATTTGGTTAAAGATTCAACTGCTAGTCTTCTCATTTGTTTGATGGGTCTTCCTTCCTAATGAAGCTTAATAAAACAAAGCAAAAAAACAAAACCAGCTTATAGATATACATGTCATACATAGTTTTTCGTTTTCTAGTTGATTCTAGATCAACTCAAGTTACCATCAATATCCTATGACAGGATACCAGCAGACTGTCTTTTATAGACATCTTAGTATCCCAGAAATTTTCAATATTTTCATTCTAAAGTTTATTAAACCTAATAGCATTTTGAAGTTTGACTAACACCAAGAAAGTGAACCCTGAAACTATTGGAAACCAGACCATTCCTAGGCTTTCTCAGTTACCCTGATTATTAGAGAAAGAAAATGATAGTCTCTATCCTTGACCAAAGGCAGAAGTGGCAATGTCTTCTCTGGATGTGGGCTTCTTGGGAACATGGCTTTCTCTGTTCTATAGCTGTAATTATCAACATAAGAAAGCTCTGTCTGAGGTGTCCTGCATTCCCTTTATCAACATCAATTGAGGTATCTTTTGCTGATCTTGGCCTGTTTTTTCCTTATAAATAGCACATAAGTTGCTATGCTTCTTAATCTAACTTAACATAAGAAATGGATTCATATCCTTCTGACCACAACTTTTCTATCTTCTCCATCTTCTCATCTGCTGTCTGCTTCCAACTTGAGTCCCTATTACTAGAGAATGATCTTCTGGTCCAGGTCATAAAACATATGTTAAGCCTCTATGCATTTATTAAATATTCTGAAAGAATACAACAGACCCAATTCTAACTGGATTTGCTCGGCTCATGTCATATGCCACCTTGGAGGTCAAATCTTGCACATCTTCTTCCATATCTTCTGTCCAGCATATTTTACATCTTTGTTCCTCAAACTATAGATCAAAGGATTCAACATGGGGATAATCAGGGTATAAAAGATAGATGCCAGTTTCTCAGTGTCAAAGGAGTGACTATAATTAGGCTGTAAATACATAGATATCAATGTCCCATAGAAGATGATGACCACTGTCAATGCGATCCACAAGTTGCAAAAGCCTTGTACCTGCCCTCAGCAGAGTTCATTCTGAGAATGATTATAAGGATTAGCAGATAAAACACAAGAACAACCAGAAGAGAAGAAACCAAATCGAAATTGACAAAGATTAGAATTATCAGCTCAATGCCATGAGTGTTTGAACAGAGCAAAGGTATCAAAGGGATACAGTCACAGAAAAAATGATTGATTATATTGTGGCCACAGAATGACAAAATGAACATTTTAAAAGTAATTAAAAGAGATAGACATAAACCATACAGATATGGGATTGCCACTAGTACCCAGCATGCCTTCTGTGACATGATGGCAGTGTAGAGCAGTGGGTTACAGATGGCCACATAGTGGTCATAGGACATAGCAGACAGAATGAAAAGTTCACAAGTAATAAACAGAAGAAAGCAAGCAAGCTGTGCAGCACAAAGATAATAGGATATTGTATTTTGGTTCAAAACAAAATTTTTTAACATTTTAGGTCCCACAGCTGTAGAATAACCAAGATCTGTGATAGCCAAGTGTTTAAGAAAGAAGTACATGGGTGTTTGCAGCCTGGAATCCACCATGGTGAGGATGATCATGCCCAAGTTGCCCCTCAGTGAGATTGCATAGATGATGAGGAACAGTCCAAACAGTGGGACCTGCAGCTCAGGCCGGTCAGTGATGCCCATCAGGATGAACCCATTCATGACTGTGAGGTTCTGTTTATCCATCCAGCTATATTATTGAATCTATTCAGGACAGGAATAATTGCACACTCAATATTTTTAATGTCATCATAAACTGAAAATTTACAAATATTGTTACACATAAGATATGCTGAAATTGTCTGATAATGGTTATTTCATACTAAATGTATTTCATGTGCATTCAGTTCCAAATATATATGGAAACAGTCGACTATGGTTCTTATGTAAGGTGATTTCACTAACAGAAAACATAAGTGAGAGATAATTTGTCGCAACATGGAGATGAACTGTAATGATGATGACTTGTTAAGATAGATGAGTCTGTGCATGATCTGCCTAAAAAACTCTCAGTTCCAAATAATGATTATATCAATAACTTTTCCCTCAGCTAGTAAATCATGTGATATATGTAAATAATAGAGGTAAATTACTCAGAGACATACGATAGAAAGTCAAAAGAGAGATTTGAAGCTGTAGATGTACACCTATCTTCTATAAGGGTAGTAAGCACTCTTAACTGCTGAGTCATCTCTACAGCCTCATAAGTCACCACTTTGAAAGGAAGTTTGGGATGAGATGTAGCTCAGTAACCATCATCAATACATGGGCTGGAGTCATAGCAGTTCCTAAAATGTGTGGTACATTCCTGTAATTCTGCTATTCTGTCAGTGAAAGCTGCAAGAATCCAAAGATCAATGGCATCTTCAGCTATCAAACAAATCTGAAGCCAGCCATAGATATAGGAGACCTTGCATAAAAAGAAAGAAAAATGGAATGAAAATAAAGTTCTCCAAAGCTCTTATAGCTACAGGTGGTGCAGTTTAAAGTATAAATATTATGGATAAATATTGCCAGATGTATGAATAAAGTAATCACAACTGATCACTCTGGAAATTGTCTATTCCTAAATAACTAAACATGCAGGTATATTGTATAGCACATATAATTACCAGTATGTTACTTAATTTATGCCAATAATACATTTGATAAATATTAATCTAGTCATTTAAAAGAATGATATTCTTGGCAGTGTTGTTTAGAAACATGAAAGATGCTTGAATGATTTGATATTTCCCAGGTATTTAAAAAAAGTTTTTAATGTGGGGAAAGAGGGAGCAAGAAAACTGCTGAGAACAGTGCTTGGGGTTTTGCCCATGATATCATGTATTCTACTATTGAACTGCAGCACTAGACCTTTATATTTTTAATATCAAATCTGCCCATACAAGCCAAAATGATCCAAAACTCATAGACTGCCTTCCTTCCATTTGCAGAGTGCTGTATTTTTTATTGTTTAATCATCACATTACTTACATAAAAAAGTTTGCTTTGCCAGAATATATGTTCTTTGAAAGCAATAAGTGATAGTTAAATGAAGAATAGGTTCAATAGGTCATATCACATGCAAATTCTTTCAATCTCTAGGTCATTCCACATACATGCTTTGGCTTAATCTATACTAAGCAATTTAATGACTAAATAAATAATTTCGTATATATTTCATGCAGATACAAAGCTTGTCATGTATAAATTACACTTACTTTAGTTTAGCATTTCAAGATTATAGTAATTGCCCAGGACCTGACACAGTGAGACATATTTCTAGTAGTGACTTTAAAATACATGAGGTTAATACATTAGATTATATATTCAGTAATTTCAATCATAAACAGGTGTTTTTTCATGCGATTTTTCAGTTCAGTATAACAAAGCACATGGCTTTGTCATCCTGCAGTACCATTAATGATTATTTGTTATGTAATACTTCTCTCAGATTCCACTATGAAATGGTCATTTTAACATAACCATGAAATATGGTCACTAATGTCATTACACACACATACACACACACACACACACACACATACCACACACACACACACACACAGAGTCAAACAATGAGATGTAAGTACTCACTTTTGTCTTAACCACTCACATTATGACATATTAAATGAGAGCATGACAAAAAGAGGCTTGAAACTCCACACACCCGAATATTTGAAAGCATACAAATGATTAATTTATATTATTATTTCTGAACTAAAAAAATGTAGACTTCCTTTACTTATGCTTCATTTCCCTTCTTATTTTAGATTGTGTTAGCTATACATATTACTGTACATAAAATATATTTTCTAAGTAAATATTGGCTTAGTGTTGCAAATATTCATATGAACATGTAATCGCCAAACTATAAAGAAAATATTCTAGAGAAAATGTGAATAAAGGAGAGGGCCTGTTGCTACTGTCATTCAGACCTCAAGGTAAAAGAATTATGGGAAAATAAGCCAAAAATTATCTCTTATATTGGATGACAAAACAAGTGCAGATTATGACCATGCCACTGGATTCTGATGTCAGGGAACAACTCACATACCCATTTACCTTTCTTATATGTAAGAAAACATTTCTCTTTTTTTCTCCCATGTTCTTCTTAGTATTGTATTTTCTAGGATTATTTATGAATTATGTTTTAATTTGGGAAATAGTCCCTGTGGAGTTGTAAGCTATTTTTTGACTATCCCTAAAGCATTGGTATGCATACTTATTTGTTTTGAGGTTGTACACTAATTGTCACGGAGAGTATGTATATAACTTTTAATTATCTATAGGAATTAGTGAAATTACTTCTGAGTTTGAATTCAAAATATTGCTGTTATGCTCTCAAAAGTATATTGTCCCACTCTCATCTTCCTTGTAGCAGGATTCTAAAAGCTGAAAGTGGAAACAAGTATTTTTTGTGGTAATGAGTGGACACATAGCATGTACCATGTGCAGTAAATGCAAGGGCACCATGAAACTGAAAAATTACATGAACCAGCCACAGGACAAATATTACGAAGGCACAAATATATGTGATAGATGTGCAACTGGTTACTGGAATAATCTTTGCAAAAAGTGGGGTATGGAAATGAGAAGTGGTTAACAATATAGGAGTCATAGTATATTCTTCTATTATTCTATTCCAGGAGGGAGAGGCAATAAAGTACAAGAGAGAAGAGAAGAGAGATCTGTCTTTTGGATATATGGTTTCTGATAGGACCAATGCATAGTACAATACCAAAATAGAATTTTAGGTACCAAGAAAGAGAAGAGGTCTATTTTTAAAGCTTTCTGAATTAGTGGCTGTTTCTGTACCTGCCTTTGTTAATTAGTGAGAGTTGCTACCTGACAATTTAGAGAAGTCGTACTGTAGGCAGTAAAACAGGAATCATATATGCTCTTCATAGAGAATAGACACTTGGTAATGTAAAAGTTTATTATGCTGTATGAACTTAAGATTAGACGTTTAGCTTGAAGACTGAAATGAGAGTTAACAATTTGCCACCAGGAAATACATCAAGAAAATCATCAGAGTTTCTTTCAATACTGTGATTTGTTATTATTAGTGATATCAATCAATTTCAATTTTAATAATTGAATCATCTAAAATTCTGTGTTCTAAAAAAAGCCTATACTTAATTGCATAAAAGTTGTATTTATCCTCCAAGAACTGGCCAAGATTTCCACATTTTTTAGCATGAGATCTTTATCACTCCTATTTTGAAGTGTGACAGTAATCAAACATTCTACCTGATTCTTAACATGTCTTGAGAGATTTCATTAAAGCTTTCTTGTTTGTTTAAAATTAAATAATGGTAGCATCTTACTAAAATGTGAAGCCCCGAATCCTTTGTTAGAAACTGATCATATTCCCAAGATTACAAGAGAGACATGAGTTTAAAAAGAAGTTAATATTTCACCGTTTACTATGTCTCCTAGTAAAGTCAACAAGAAAACTCTGGCTTTTGGTAGATGTGTCTACATTTGGAGATAAATATGCTAGAGTACAGCTATCAGTGCAGTAGTTGGGAAGGCAAAGATAGGTCAAAGTGCAATTTAAAAAGAAAGTATCTTCCTCAAATAAGCAAGTGGTGAGCTAAAGATTGAAAGACATGAATTAATTAGCATTTAACTTTTTGGTAGTGGGTTCATTTTTTTTCTGATTAAAGTGAGCCAGTTAAGGCTGCCCACATCAAAGGTTTTATTGTATTAAAAAGTTTAGTATTCCAAGCATTTTAAATAAATAGGCATCACTTGTGTGGTCCAGAAAGGTTTTATTTGTGTGAGGAAGGTTTTGTTTTGTTTATGTTTTACCTGAGACAGGGTTACTCTCTATAGATTTGTAGAGCATGCTGGCCTGGAACTCACAGAGTTCCTCTTGCCTCTGCCTCCTGAGTACTGGAGTGTTTTAAAGATGGTGGAGATTTTATTGAATTTTATTTTTTACAGATTTACTGGTATTCACAATAAAAAGTCTCTTGGGAGGGATACAGATATTGAGAGGAACTGATGGTTTCTAGTCTACTAAATAATAAAGTATATAGCCTTTAAGTGAGCTGAAAGAAGGAAATTATAATTGGCAGTGGTCACGACCAATTAGGAATCCATTTGCCCAAGAATTAAAAACAACAATGTATATGTAAGAATACATAAAACTATTAAGCTTCTGCATAGCTAAAGAAATACTCAGCTGCTTGAAATGGAATTCCACAGAATGGGAAAGATTGGATTCCAGCTACAAAACTGACAGAAAATTAATATCCAAAGTTTATAAATAACTTTAAAAGGATTAAAATAACATTAAAAAATAGTCCTGGTGTCTTTACCAATCAGGACTTACTTTCCAACTCTTAATGGCAACCAAGCTCTAACTGACCTGAATGCCCAGTCCTTCGATAGTTTTCATGTTACCAAAAGTCATCAAACAAGCTTGCTAAAAAGGGAAGCAACCAAAAGTCCTACACAAGTATTATGTCTATGAACCACAAAACTGAACAGCATGCCATAATAATCTTAAGGGTATAGTAGTGGCACATATATATCCAAGGTTACCAACAGCTCTGTAATTGGACACAAGAACTGTTCACCAAGAATGAAGTCATATCTATACTAGAAACTTAGTTAACTACCTAAGGCTATTGAATTCCTGAATATTGAATCAGCACCTACAAGCAACATTTTACTGAGCCATCATAATCCCT